CCAGCAGGAACCGTGTCCCCGACAGCTTTTACCAGCAGTGGTTACAGGAACTGGCTCTGGTCTTCCAGTGGGAATCCCTGGATGCCACTGGGTGAGAGTGAGACAGCAGAGGAAGGTACTGTATATTCAAATAAATGTATAGTGGATACCATATGTTCCTTTCCAACAACCGCTACATTGCTGCATTAAAGTTCAAATTCCAAGCATTCAGGGATGTAAATATATTAAACGATGCATCTATTTGTGCAAAGCATTCTTTATGAGGGACATCCATGTGCTTTTAATCAGTTTCATGCTGAAAGAAAGAAAACTGTAAACTATGCATTAAAAGAAGGTTTGGAGAAAGTTATTTTTCCTCTATCTTCTGCATCCTAATTCAATGCTTCCCCTTGCTTTCAGTGATAATATAAGTAATCTTCTAGCAACATTCATGAGAAAAGTTTGATGTGGATTTACACTAGTGGAGCTACATTACAATGGGTAGATTTAAGGTATTATAAAATGAGTTTTTGGATTTGTTACAGAGGTATGAAACCCCTAAGACACAGGCAGATAGGACTTCCAACATATGGCAACCACTCTTATTATAAAACAAAACAGTGTTAAGTCAAAGTACCTGATTACAATTCACTAGTGCTATGTAGCTCTGATAGCAGGCTTATATTTAATGCCATAGAAACAATATAATTTATTTTTCTGTCTTCCCTTATCCCTTCGTTATTGGGTTTGTAGGCTTTGAAACCTTAAGCAAAAGGACAAAATATAAATTATAGAAAACATCAAAGTATAGTGAAATCAAATGACATTCCTTACAATCCTTACAGAGATAGCTAACACATTTCTTATGTGCAGTTTGGTCGAACTGCTATCACTGCAGAGCTTTAGTGGTTATAATTAGTAATCTTTTGGGAGCTACGGTAGCACACTTATAATGTCAAAAATATTTAATTGAATGCAGTAGTTAACTTGGCAGTGCAAAAATTCATTTGGTAATGACTTAATCTGGCCAAGATTTTACCCTGTTATCAAAGGGATCATTAGGAAAAAAATATAGCTATATAATTTTACTACGTGCTACTTCTTCAGCTAAGTCTGTTTATAGATTTCTCTTAAATTGCCTACTTTGAGATATAGATGCTGGAGGCAGAGCATCTAACACTGCACCTACTCACATCTACACATTCAGTGCTAAATACAATTTTTTGGTGAACATTTTATAATCTAAAGCATGTAAATTGAGAAATATGTGACTGTGATGGACATGTCAAAAGAAAAATCACTAAGCCCCATAGCCTAATAAACAAAATTCCGTTTGGGAAATGAATTGACTGACAAGCAGTTCCTAACAAATAAATGCACATTAGATTCAGATGCATACTGGAGTATCAAATAACTAGATAATTTATCACCAGTCAAATTTAAAACCACGTTTTCTTGTCTTGGTCTATGGTTCCCATGCACTGCTATCTTATTAACAAGACTTTAATTCTCATACTGACACACAAGAGTGTTGTACTCTAATGAACTGTCTGCTCCTTGCTGAATTCTGGTGGTAATGTAGGATGTTAGTTACAATAATGATAATCTTTAGTATTTTTAGCCTGTCAGAATCTGCACAGCCAACAACAACCAGTCTTTTACTAAAACTCTACCTCATCAAACTAACTTAATTAGCAATTCAACTCCTTATTTTTGTTTTGAATTCCCCTCTGGCTACTAATTAAAGCTTAATCGAAACTGCTGAACTGAGGTTGTAAAGAATTCATTAATATTAAAATTAGCCCCAACAATTTTTTTGGGCTGGTGCAATTTGTATTTGTTACTGTCAGGGTTTGAAATTCAGTTGAATTGTTAACAAAGCTGCACCAGAAATTTGCTGTATATTCATATTATAAGCAGAACAAATACGATGAATTCCAATAGTTGAACAAGTAATTCATGTTTTGACCATGCACAGTTCACATTACTTGTGTCACTGCTTAACACCAACAGACAAAATATATTTTCAGATCATTTTTCCAAAGTCATCCACATTTCTTTATTGTCCTAAGTGCTTTCATATTTTGGATAAAAGGGAATAAAAGGCTCTAAAAAAAAAGAAAAGATTGATTTTATGTATTATCTTGACAAGATTAATATGTTTGAAAAATGAACAGATTTACCACTTCACTTTGATTTTTCCACTTTTCTTAACATCAAAGATTACTCCAGCTGCAATAATGGTCATTCTGAAAACTAAGAGCAACTGAACTATGAGCTTCTGTTAAGGATGTGTTTTTGCTGGTAACATATATCTCATTGAATTATTTTTTAGAAGGGTGTAATACTTTATTTTTTAAATTACAATCTCTGCTCTATAAATTATTTAAATATATTCTTTTCTGAAATCAGTTTATCCTTTGCAATTAGTTTAAATGTATTTTTAATTAAATTGCTTAATTTAAAATAGGAAATTAATTTATGTTTAAATATTGCTAAATACTCTCAACAATATGAGTAAAACATACTTGTGTTTGTTTTTGAAAATTTCATAAAAATGTAAATAAGAAAAGCATTCTTTTTATAGCAGATAAAAATTATTTTCATAATTCAAGTTCACTTTTCATTTTAACTTTTATGTTTTAATATTTTTATCAGAACATGTATATTTATTTTACCCTACAGGAAATTTTTTCAAGAATGTTTATAGGAAACAAACTTGTTAGGACTAAAATATACAGCAACTAATACTGTTTAACATATTTTATTAAATATAAATATTAAGATTATTTATATAATGCAAAACTTTACAAAAATATACATGAAAAATTACATATGCATCTAGGTTTCATTTAAATAACATTTATGACAAAACAATCATGCACATATTTAAAAATCAACATATGTCCATTTTTTACTTCCTGACTAAATCAACAATGGCATACAAGCCACACAATTTAAAATCTTGGTGACAATTTCCATGAAGTTATTCAAATACAATTTGACTTCTGACAAGAGGATGTAATTTATAAAACAGAACATGCCTATCAGTGGAACCTAAATTTGCATAATGAGGATACTTTCATTTCTGCAAGCACAGTTTTTGACATCCCAACTTGGAGCGCTGGAAGAATCTGGTGAAAAATGTCAATATACATAAGCAGGAAAATGATTAATAAAATACCCGTAACATTTATCTGATTTGAGTAAACAAAATAAATTTTGCTTGCAAAAAGTAATGATTTTGAAAACTATAATAATGTGTTTCCTAAATATGTAGAAGTCTAGCACTGCCTTTAGCTGCAATCAGCCTTGTAAACTAAGGGAGGTGGTCTGAGTTTATCATTAGCTGATAAAAACACTGCTCTGACATTAATGTTATGCATTTTTAAATCAGTGTTTTGATTTAATTCTCTGTTGCATTTCATATAAATATACTGAAGAAATACTAGAAGAGAGGAAAGAAAAAAAGCCTTTATCCTTCCTTTAGCTGATAAACTTGAAATTGCTGCTTAACTTGGTCAGCTGGATAAGAGCATTCATCATTCTTGTACTGGAGAAAAAATAGCTCTTTGTCCTCCTCAGTTTTTTGGTTTTTTTTTGAGTTGTTATTTCAGGTAAGCTTATGATCAGAGTTTAAATTAAAGAAATTCTGGAATAAATTTGCTTTAATTCAGCATCTCTTACCCACCCTACCATAAAGGATAGTATCAGATGACAATCAAAACCAAGTTACCTTTATGTTTCAAAGCCAGAACTCAGACACTCTGAAATAAATCCATTTTAGGTTTGCTTAAGAAAACATGGATTGTCAAGAGACAGCAGTAGAATAACACTGTTAAATAAAAAAAAAACCAAACAAAAAAACAAAAAAAAACACCCACCAAAATTTATCTTTATATACATTACTAATAGGATCATCTAGATTTAAAAGCAAGAAGACTTATTTTTCATTAATCTTGCTGCTTTTTTATAGCTTCCTAACTCCCTAAATTATGAAATCATGCCTGGCTTCCTTTTGTTTCTTCTGAGCTTCACTTTGTGGTCTCTCTGATATTTCTATTGAACTGTAAATATTCTGAGGGGAATTGCTTTGAGACCAGATTTTTCACTTAAAAAAGCATAACACTTTTATATCAAATATATGTATAGACTCTGAGGCAGATAAACATTTTTGCTGGCCTCCACTGCTATAAAATTTAGAACACACAATAAGAACAGAATAATAAGGAAAAAAATTAAATGCAAAACAAAGCAAGGAGGCAAATCTCAGTGCAAAGTATTCATTTAATTCTAAATCACACTTGTTTGTATTCAAATTAAAGAACTAGATCATGGCTTTGAAAACAAATTCTTCATCATGGGCTTTACTTAGGCTAATACTTCTCACACATACAAACCATTTATTAAAGTGAAAGAAGAGTAGGTCACCCTTATTTATTTGAGACACCAGCCTGATAAAATAAATAATTTTATCAGGAGATTGATAAATATGGCTATAAACCTGGAGCTTTTGCAATTAAATAGCAATCTAAATCTAAATAATCTTTTTTTATTTCAAAGCACATTGAGAATGTTGCCTGGTGTAAGCAGAACTGGAACACAACTGTCACTGCCAACTACAAAACTTTGATGTAGAGAAAATAAAAAGAAAAATTATACAATTTCTGTCAAATACTTTGAAACTGAAATAATAAAATCATGGAACAAGATCACTGGCAGCATATTGAAGCAAATAGTAATTGCTTCTTAGCTGTTCTCATCATTATAATTTTGAGAAAAATAGGTATTTTATAAACATTTTTTGCTAAGAAACTTCACCACCTCTCTTTAAAAATTCCTTTTTATTATCGGTGTAGATTCATAAGAAAGAAAGAAGCAGCTTGCTATTCAAACAGCTGAAAGGGGAAAAAATTGGTTGTTTCAACATTGCTTTTGCATCTTTAATTTCATTCAATGCTCTGTACATCGTGAATATGTCAACTGAACAGACATCTCATTTCCAACTGCTAACATTCCAGGTGCAATAGGAACAACCACAGTGGCTCGATGCGTGAGAGTATTTGTGTGGCGGGGATGGGAGCTTGCTGCAACCTGCTGTGATGCCTGCACATCCACGGTGAATGGGATTGGCTAAAGCTGAGCTCTTCGATCCTCTCCCTCTCTGGGGCAGTATGTTTATCCTGTGCTTATCATACAAACTCCTTCTACAAATAAATACACTGAATTTGGTCTTGTGTGTGTTCAGAAATTGCTATGAAATACTGTGAAATACTGATTTTTAAAATAACTGCATTACTCAGACGTGGATACTTTTGGTTCTGAATTTTCCCAATATAGAATGATCACAAATGGAACTTTGTAGCAGCAGGTCACCTGCAAAAACTAAATCCCACCAGCCTGCCCCTTCCCCAGTTTTTAACTAGGAGAACCCTCACTCCCACAGCTTACTCCACACTCAGAAGTGGAATCAGACATAAATGCATATTGCTTTTAGTGTAATTTCTGCAACAGAAAAAGATTTCCAATATGTTGGCATATGTCTCAGAGATATTCACATTTGGGAAGGCTGGGAAAGACCTACAGATTTTTCACTAAAAAAGAAGCTCACAAACATTTTAAAATACACTCTTGTCACATGGCAGCTGGTAAACTCAGCAGAATAGGAGGGGACAGCCATGTTCCAGAACACAAACCTCCTTCAAAACCAAGAGAGAACACACACCCTGTGCTTGGACTGGAGGGAAATCTTTGTTCCCTCTAATTCCTTACTGACTCTGCCTGTTCTCTTAAAAATGCACAAATACCAAACCGAGGCAAAACTTGGTGTTTTATTGAAACCGGACAGCTAAGGCAAAGAATATACATCAGCATTCTTGGGAAATACCCAAAAATTGTTTTTCCAGAAGAGTGGGAATGGAGCTCCTCAAGAAATAGCTAATAGAAACTTTAAGGTAAATCTGAAAAAGTGCTTGTTGCCAAAGTATGGGAGCAAATGAGTGACAGCAAAAATAACAAGATATTTGGATTAGGATACCCATATAACTACTATTTTATTAAATACAGCTGAAAATTAAGATTTTCAGTCCCATAGTTTGGATTCTTGCTGCTTTGAGTAGCTGCTGCTGCTAATTGTTCAAACATTCATTGAAATAATAAGGCAAACATTACTGTTTCCAATTGTGGTATTTGTTATGTTCACAGACCTCTTACTAAATGCTCAAAACACTAATATAAAACACTTCATAATACTAATAAGTGATTCTGCTTCAAGCATTCATTGTCCTACCAGCTGAAAGGGTTAGCAATACTAAGTCACCAATGTTCTGAGGGAAATGAATTACATTTTAAAATTATTTCTGGTTTGAATAGTTTTATAGTTGTCTGTACTTGTGCTTTGAAATAAATGACATCCCCCCCTCCACATCCTCGTCAAGTGCTTGCATGCCAATGCTTTTTACTAAGACAATCAATGTTTAGTATAGTATTTGACACTGGAGAGTATTATCAAAAATATAGGAACGGAGTCATCTGTAAAGCCATTTTCATTGGTGACAGCAATTTTGCTAATGTTATATTATTTTAGAAAAAGATAGTCCTCTTGATTTAAATCCTCAATTACCAGAGCCTGTTTGATGCCATGAAGAGCAGTTCTGGGTGGTGGGAAGGAAAGGAATGCAGAGTCGGGAGGAAGAGATTAAGGAACCATGGGATCTGCCTCTCCTATTCCCTCTCTAGCCCCATCTTCCACAAGGCTCTGGGCAGGAGTTCCTTGCTGCCCCTCGTGACTCCCTGGCCAGGGGATGACCAAAGAATTCCCTCCTCCGCAGGTCCTTCAGGCTGGGAGTGCTCTTAGAAATACCACGCTCAGAAATACCTCCTACACCCATGTGCTCACATCTCAAGGGTATTGGAGCACTACCTCCACTCACACAGGTTTCAGTTTTTAATGTGGAAGCCAAATGCACACATTTTGGAGGTAAATTATGCAGAAAAATACATTTCTGCTGAGGCAAATGGTTTTTAAGCAGGTCTTATAATTACTTCGGGTGGAGAATGTGCTTTTTCTCTTTGGTCTGTTCACTTGCAGTTCATATGAGGAAGGATTATATTACTATCATTACACAAATTCTTAAATGGGTCCATTGATTTGTTTATAAATGAGATATCAATGACAGTTAATTATTCAATAACTGATCATTAATTTTGGGCTAATGATCAGAGACCTCTAGGTCCTTCTAATTTTGCTTGGCTCAAAGGAGTAAATGAAATCTGTTTGTTAAAAGCATACAGCAGGCTACTAAGCATTCATTTTCATTCTGCTACAGTAAAGTAGTGTTTTAAGCAGATTCATGAAATGTTTTAATACTACTCAAGCAAACCTATCAATGGAAGAAAAGTTAAACACACAGTCAAGGGGATTATTATCTAGCTGTCTATATCTTTCATTTAATCCTACACCCATCCATGTGCTTTTTTGTGGAAAACAATTTTTTGCTTACTTTAAGTGGCTTGGTTTTAATTAATCTTTCTCTCTTTTCCTTGCATTTTAGGCTATCCTAAAGATCAAGGATGGTTCATACCTACTGCACTACAGCAGCACCGGATGATGTTTGAAAAACATTGTTTATATAATGAGAGTATCACCAGTTCTTACATTTTTAATTAAAGTTCATTCTAAGTGTGCTTTCCAATACCTGTGTCATTACCCTAACAATTAATAAGCAACACAATATTTTCTCTCACTTCATCTGCATGGAGTTAAATTCTAAAATTTCCAAAGAATAAATTATATAGGAATTAAGGTTACAAAATAGAGCTAATGTCAAGCTGAAACTCTTTTCATTAACTCAGTGCTCACTTCTGCCAAGGTCTGCAGCACATATTTGATTCTGTAACATCAGTGTGCTGAGATCATTCCAATATCATAATAGAGCACATTTAAAATGAGGAATTGAAAGCTTGCAGCGTTAGCCCTGGATTTATTTGCTTTTCTTGGCTAAATGGACAAAAATAGCCTGGGTGGAGATCTGGTTTCCGTTCACTTCAGTGGAGTTAATGCCGTGTTTGGCAAGTGCATGGAGAAATCAGAGAGGTGGAAGCGTGCCGCAAGAAGCTGTACAGTGTCACTTTTGCATGGACCACAGGCTTATTCAGAATGTTTTAGTAATTAAGGTCCTGTGAAACATAATATGTAAGTCAGTTTTCAAGAAATACTGTGACAGACGATAAACTTTTCTATCATGTGCAGTATGTATTTTGGGAAATGTAGAAAACTTATTTGAGTAACAGAAGGACTGTGATAATTCCCATGTGCAAAACTAGACTTGTAGCAAGCTCATAGGAGATATACCTTCATGGTAGAAAAGAGACTGAAAAATACAGTCTCATTAATGGGGAGACACTGTTCTAGTAAAATATCCCACCGTAGTTCAAAACTGCAGCTGTGTCACTTCAGTGTGAGTGTTACTTGTGTGATCACCAGAGGTCAGTGTCACCACAGGCTGCAGCGCAGAGAGGGAGGGAGATCTGCTTATAAAAGATGAAAACAAGATTGCCTGATCCCTCCAGAATTTTCCCGTGCTCTAACACAAAATATAACAAATTCACAAGCCTCTTTCTTTGTCAGATGGTGGGTAGATGAGTAGAGGGAGTACTGAGGAGAGGGAAAAGGACAAGGGGAGCTGTAAGGAAATGGGAGCAGGAATAAAATAAACTTGGCTGGCTTCTTTGTGACCATAAAAGATATTACCTTCAGATTCTTAAGCAGACAAGTCCCACCTGTGTTAAGGCATGTGCCTAGCAATATAAATTATTTCCAGCTTCAAATGCTGAGAAATTATGAGGCTGGCTCATAAGTGTTTAATTAATTAAAAAGTACTGTTTTCTTTTCTTTTGTCCACAGAGTTGGATTTTTTCTTTTTGTCATATTCTTAACCTTTTCTCCACTAACATAATACCTGAGAAAGTGTGTATGTGTGCAATTTTAATGACATAGGAAATCTTCAGGCTGTCTAGTTTGCCTCTAGGGGTTGCAGTTTAAGAAAAATACAAGATGAGGAATAAAACCGTGGGAGCTAGGAAGACTGCTGCCTCAGTTGCTCACTGTCCTTTGACAAATGCCCCTATAGCTGTGGTCTTTGTGTAAGGGTCAGAGGTGATGGATGATGGTATGTGAGCTATTGTTCCTCCCTCACCCTGGTGTGACACCAGATCCTGACTCACTGAGGGTGTCAAGGGTGCTTTCCTCCACCCTTCTGTACCACCTGTTCTGCACATGTGGGGGGCTGAGAGTGGGCATGCAGGACACAGAAAAAGCTGTGGTAGGGAGCAATCATTCAAGAGCAGAAGGGAAAGTAGAAAAACTCACTCATCTTTCTTGGGGCACTTTGAGATGTGTGAACAATTTTAACAAAAAGTGCTTTCTACTGTTTTGTTCCTACTAGTTTGTTTGGAAGTTTATCTCCTACCAGTGCTAAAGCAGGTTGCAGCAATTTTAATACTGGTACAGAGAAATCCTGGGATTGGATGCCCTGTATTTTGCAGGATTCTTTTTGACAATGGCAGAATACTTCATTAGAAATGGAGCTGTGAGTTGCAACCACAGCTTGAGATTTTTTTCCTGCTGGAGTATAGTTTCTCTGTTCAGTGTTTGCAGTCCACCAAAGCTCTTGTGATTGCCATGCTGGGGTTTAAACACCAATCCAGCCACACAGCTGCTCAGAAGCAGTGGTGTAACTGCCATGAAAGAAACAAGTTTGTTTCCAAGCTCCCTCTGTACAATGCTGTGTTTTATCATGAATACCTTCTTTTTGTGATTGTATTAATGGCCAAATTTGGAAAAGCAACTGCTTTAAAATATCAGGTCTGGAGAATAATTTCTTAGGTAATCTGAGATATTTTTTACAATCAAAGAACATAGACCATCTCTCACATGGAAGGCATTTACCTTCTACCAGACAGAACTTCAGTATTTTTCCAATCATATCAGCTACTCTTAATTCACTTCAGGGTGAATCCTCTTCAATATTGCTCCAGAAGAATGGTACTGCTTATCAAAAGGAATTATCTAGATAATGTCATGCCAGATACATGACAAACTTGCTTTCTCTGCACAAGTCTTAGGGCTAAGCAAATACAAATTGAGCCTCTTTCCCAGGGCAAAATGTGAGTTGATTTTTGTACAATCCAACAAAAGAAAAATAGGACAGTAGTACAGGGCAAAAGTCCTAAAACTGTCAGTCTTTGATGAAGACTCCATATTATTAAAATGTATAAATACCAGGCATTTTGGTATATTTGTTCCAACACACTTTCATGTGATGAAGAGGTGGGATTTGAATGCTGTTTACTTGGTCTCAGCACAGTGTTGTGATCTCTCTCAGCATCTTCTACCATCTACCAGGAGGATGCTTTCTTAGGTTGCAGTGCAAAGGGCTGAACAAGTGTACACTCCTATTTCCAGTCTCACTATCTGATATCCATCACCAGGCTAAACAATCAATGTCAGCAGAATCCTAGCAAGTTCACATAGCTGCACTGAATGAAAGAAATAATTTTAAAATAATAACAGAAAAAAATAATATAAATATAAGGCAAGAATTGAGTAAATTTGCATATTTTCACCAATTTGTTTTGCTCTAAACATTTCTGAATACTTGACCACATATTTTCTTGTAGTAATCATTTCCTTCCTTCCTCCCCAAAATATACCTCACCTTTCCAAAATGCAAACATATCTCAGATCAAGACAAGACTGGAAAAAAGTTAAGACACAGCTGGGAAGACATGTTTCCTTAAATATTTAACATAGCAAAAGTTCTTTGACTCCTAAAATCAAGTTCTCTTCTATAATTCTCAGTGCTTTTTATAGGTTAGTCTGGTCTTAAAGTATTAACTCAGAAACACTTTCTAGCTATATTTAATGGTGGTTAGGGAACAACACACTAATTGTAAAGTAATAGTAATAACAACAATAATAGCCCATGTCATATGGGAGCTGGTAGAGATGAGTAGATTTAATAAGTCTGATAGAAAGCATGAAATTTAATTAATGCTCTTTGGCAAACTTCCGAGTTGTGTCAAGACATGGCAGAATCCCACTTATGGGTTAACCCTATGAGTCTCAGTAACAGGCAGCTGAAAAACTTTCTGTGCCACTTAAGCTGCTGGCCATTCACACCATTTCTGTACTTTCTGCACCATGCAGGGGCAACAGAGACACCGCAACACTGCTGGTAGCAGATGCAATGAAAATTTTTCCCAGAAGATGAGCGTGTGTAAAAAAAAGAGATGTGTTGCAAAAATATGCACCTCTCTTTTGCAAGCTTGGGATAACAACACATTGCACCCTGTAATGATCTCTGAATGCTGAGGCATGCTTTCAGCTCTTCAGACAGAAAAAAAAAAGCAGCGAAGGCAGTAGCTCTGCAAGAAAATCTCTTGCTGTATCCACCAGTGTTTATGGGTGCCTGAGCTTGTTTGGGATGTACAAACTGTGGAAGAAGACAGGCAGGATATTCATATTGTTTAGCTGCAGGGACTTAGTACACACACTCAGAACTGCAAATTTCCTTCAGTTTCCATATTTCAGTGAAGCAAAATAGATTCTGCAAGGAACTGAGCTTAGGCAATCTATTTCTGTCTCTGGCTGAATAAAAAGGATGGGAATGCTCCTAACTGAGGTACTTAATTATCCTCCCCTCCTCAAGTTAGACATCTATGTGAGTTGCCTGAAGCTACTGCTCAGACCATCTTGGATGTCCCCACCTGCTGAATGCTCAGGCTGATGTCTGTGAGGGCTGCCTGCTAGTGCTGTAGAGGAGGAGATATATCTGAGGAAGAGGTAATGAAACAATCTAGAGCTTTTTGGGGTTCCACATGACATGCACTGGTGGAGTAGGGCATCTGGAGGACTTTAAAGTCCCAGATGGTTTACCCAGTGTAACAAAGCAGAGGAGAAAACTGCTGGGTGAAATTAGGTGATTAACACAGAAAAGAAGAAAAAAAAAAAAAAAAAAAAAAAAAAAAAAAACAAACAAACAAAAAAAAACCCACAACAAACCCCATCTTCACAAGGAAATAGTTTGGAAGATTTTGGTAGACAGGAGACTTCTGTGTTACTGAAATCTCAGTTTCACATAGCTCTGCAAGGTCCTGCTCTGAGACACTCTCATTTCCACCTAAACTGCAGAGCCATGCAGTGCATCCTGAACATCTGCCTCACATCTTGGTCTTCCTCTCCTGGGATAGAGACTGTGGTCACAGGCCTTACCCATAGAGGCAGGGCAATGTTTTTTTAGGGGAACAATGCAACAGGGAAGCAGAGAGCTGAGACACTTTCTTCTGGGATCTATTGACAGCTGGACAGCCTCTGGAAAAATTGAAAGGCAGCCACAATGATCTGCAAGTCATTTTTAAAGGTGTAAACCCATTGGTTTTTTAGTTCCTGCAAGGCTGGGGTTTCTCTAGCTACACATTTTGTTATAACCACTGGACAATTAACTGTGACTGTATCTCCTTGCCAATTTAGTCTGTTCTGTAACTCCAGACTTATTTCTGCTGCCTGATATGACTACTAAAATGTATGCAATATGTATGTATGTATGTATACTAAAATGCCTGGTATGTATACTAAAAATCTCCAGGTTTCCCAGTCCATAATTGATACGCTTGTTCTAGTCATGCA